GAGCTTCAAAAAGATGTGTCACAAGATCCCCCTTTCCATTTATTTTTTTTTCCCAGACGGCGCCCAGTCGCCATCTTGAAAGTTTCTTCTGTAAATTTCACTTCAAAATAAATTATTCATGCATTAATTTCATTATCCCAAATTTCATTTTCATTTTCAGTTAGCCCGTTCAAAAAATAAAAAGGGGGGGACATTAAAGAAATGCACTGTATATCTAATAATTAGAAAAGTAATATTCAATCTACGGATAGAATTTACCAAATGTCTTTCGGAAAACACATTTCCCTCAGTTAGATCAGACATTTGTATGACAATATGTAGGTACTTTATTTTGTTTCAGATACAGCAAACTTCTTATTCCTATCTGAGTCTACTTAGAGGAACGAGTGGCAGAGAGTAGGTGAATGAGCTTTTCCTATAATAAAACTACACAAATGGATAGCGGCTTCACTTTGTTAGACGACTTTTTCCTATACTTGAACTGCATAAAGGAATGGCGCATTCACTTCATTGGATGGATAAAACATCGAATTATTGTAATAGGATAATTGAAAATTATCCCTTTATGAAATTTGATAATGCCACGTTTGTAATATTAGGTTGTTTCAAAAGTTTTGTCCGTTTTAATATCATGTGTTTTGGTAGCTCCATATCTCCATAAATATTTAGTTTACTGTGTCGTGGTATACAGTGTCATCCCCAAAGTATGCACCATATGAGAATAGTAAAGTACTCTTATTTCGAAAAAAAATTTGCTAAACTCGAGCACAACCTCGAGCTAAAATCTAATACTTTTTTCCCTTGTATAATAAATAACTATTGTTAGTGCATGTTTAGTTTTAGGGAATGCACAATTTTTTTATCAAGAATAACTTTTTGTCGAAAAACCCTTAATAAACAAGTTTTCCATATGGTGCATACTTTGGGGATGACACTGTATACTGATTCATTTTTTTCTTCAGATTTTGATTTTTTAACTCTTTTCAGCTTCTTACTTTATGATGTCGGCCAATTTTTTCTGTACGAAATCAAATTGAACCAAAGCGCTGCCGACACAGCCCGAAAAATTAACCAGGCATTTGGCAATGATAGTGTTAATGAACGCACTGTTCACTATTGGTTTGGAAAACTTTGTTGCGTAGATTTTAGCCTTGATGCTGAGCCCCGAAGTGGTCTGTTTACTGTTATCCAGAACAAGGATTTGTGGATCCTGCGACTGACCCATCACAAACGGTGTGTTAGATGGCGGAAGAACTGGGCGTCAACAATCATGCGGTTTTTGATGGTTTAAAAACGTATTGGAAAGGTGTAACGATCAACAGAAATTGTCACGTTTCGAGATCTGTTCTTCTTTGCTTTTGCGCAACCAGAACAATTCTTTTATAGATCGGATCGTAACGTATGATGAAAAGTAGATCCTCTACGACAACAGCAGACATTCAGGACAGTGCTTGGACACCGATGAGCCACCCAAGCATTTTCCAAAAGTTAAAACCCATCAAAAAACGACCGTGGTTACTGCTTAGTAGGCTCTCTTACCACGTGATCCGCCAGACTTTCCGGGGACCTTCAACCGCTCTTAGGATGAGATTCTCATCCAACGCGTTCAATGCTGTAGTATCGAAGGATTCGACGTAGTTATAATAAACGGTCGGAAATTGATATTGTGTTTAGTTTATTTTAGTTCATTCGCTGTTGTTATTATTGGACTACCATCTTCTCAAGCACTTCGATAACTTTCTCACCGGTAGAACATTCGCCAATCAGGACCAGGCAATAACAAAAACGGCCCTCGTCGACTTCATCGAATCCCGAGTACACAATTTTATGCTGACGGCATTGATCGACTTGTGTTACGGTGTGCACTGATCTATTACAGGTTAAAGTAGACTCTCAAAAACGGACAAAACTTTTGAAATAACCTAATATTTGTAAAATCTTCACAATATTGATTCACCATAAGAATATTCATAAGTACCACGAAATGTTAAATCAAAAAAATGTCACTCGAATTCTAATATATTTCACTATTCTAATATAGAAATGAAACCTGAAATATTGTAATAATGACATCCAACCCCTTCCTTCTTAAAGAAACACAACCTTTCACATTCAGTCCAGAAGTGAAATATCTATTTTTCAAACGTTCCTTCTACAGAGGAACTTGTGATCCAATACCAGGCAGCGTTGTTTCGACCCACCAGTGGTGCTAGATTTAACCACTGAACTGTCCCAAAAAGAACAAGCCTGAAAGGCTACTAAAAAGCTATGTATGGGGTCGATACAGGACTCAATCCTCGAATAGCAAAGATAAACCAGGCTCCCCAAGGGGATCAGTTGCAAACTCAGGCTTCGACATCGACTGCTAACGAGATTCGTCTTCTATCTTTCACTGCCTTGCGGAGATTGAGTTCTCTGTCGATCACATAGATGGCGTGTTCGTAAGGAAGAATGTCATCGCCTTTAGTTTTTTACACAAAAGATTTCAACTGAAAACACTGAAAAAACAACTCACATCCCACATACCCATCCCTATGCATTCACATTTGAGAGCATGAAAGGGATCTTTGTAATCGATTGCAAAATAAAAGTAAGCTCCTCATGTTCTTTCTAATAACCCTGGTAGTAAACAAATCTAAAGAAAATAACTTTAAACGTCTTTAGATTTGTTTACTGCCAGTCTTCAAGGATAGCCCACTGACTAATAAGAAAGATTTTACCAACATTTGACAGTATTGCAATGAGCCTGTGGTTGATTATTTCATGTTTATTTCCCTTTTTGAAGATAGCTTTGATATGTGCAATTTTAAGATTATCAGAAAAAATACTTGTCAAAAATGATAAGTTGATTATGTGTGCAATAGGTTCACATATCTCATATGCTACATATTTCAGTAATTCAGTTGGTATTTTACCAACTACTGCTTTACTATTTTTTAACTTCTGAATAGTATCATAAATTTCTTTTGAATCTGTTGGGAGAAAAAATATGCTTTTATCAAAAGATGGAGGCTCTAAATACTCTAAATGCTCTTATTTACACTATTCAAAGTTCGACAGTTATTAATAAAGTGCTGATTCACCTCATTTAGAGCTAGTGTTTTATTAGTTTCATCTGGAGAAAAGTTTTCCGATACTGACATATGTGTCTTAGTGTCCGAACCAGTAATAGATTTGACCAGATTCCATACTGCTTTGGACTTATTAGTGGACGTTTGCATGTAATTTTTACTACTAATTTTTTGCTCCTCTAACTACCTTTTTGAAGATCTTTGGTATATATCATTAGATATGCTTTTTTTTATCTGTATAAATGTTGTTTACGTTTGCTTGATGTCTTTATTCCTATGGTAATCCAATCTCTATTTTTCAAGTTGGTGTCTGCTTTACAATATTTTAGTGGGGTGACTTTATTCATTAGTTGTCTGAGGACTCCATAATGAACAAATGACGCTTTTTGAAAAAAATAATTATTAAGAGGCAAAGTGAAAAGCTTACCTTTTGAAGTGATATTGCTAGCTATTAGATTTAGAAAAAAACCGCTAGACTTAAAAAATGTAGCACCACTTTGGCCTCACTGCAGTCACAAAACAGTCTATTTTTGAATGATACAGAACTATTCAGTTGATATAAGCTTTTTAGCCTCCAGCACAATAGAATAGAATAGAATATGTTTATTTCATCACATTAACTACAAAAGTACAATAGTGACAAGTCAAACTGACAAACAAGAATAACAATAATTGAACGATAGTTATTGTTATACACGCTGATTAGGTACTTCTAAAACAATTATTATTCAAATATTCGTGGATGGAGTAGAAACAGTGCCTTAATAGTGAGTGCTTAACTCTAACCTTGAAACGGTTGTAACTCAGACCGGTAATGTCTGTTGATATTTTATTGTATAAATGTAAGTTAAGTGAGTTTCGAGCTGATAGATCCAGTCTAGAAAATTGAGGCCTCAGCTGTGCACCTTTTCGAGTAGAGTAATTATGAAAGTCAGCATTTGTAAGGTATTTAGTATTTATTTACGGAATGTCCATTACAGTATTATTTTTGTGAATCTCTGAAATGTTATAAAGTATGAAAATACATGGCAAGGGTAGAATTTTGAGTTTTTGAAATAGAGGACGACAGTGTTCTCTGTAAGAAACATTGACTATGATCCGGATTGCTTTTTTTTTGCATACGAAAAGCTTCAATTGCATATGAAGACTGACCCCATGAAAGTATGCCATATGTTAGGTGGCTGTTAAGAAGAGAAAAGTATGTCTGTAATACCATACTTTGACGAAGACACATTTTCAGCTGTCTTAGTAGGAACAGTTGTGTAGAAAGTTTTTTACACAGACATGTGCTTCCCAATTTAACATGTCATCAATTTTAAACCCCAATAAATCTACATGTTTCTTCTTCGTTAGTTGTCTATTTGATGATATTATCATTTTCTGTGTTTTAGCCCTGTTTAGTTTGAGATAATTTGAAGTAAACCAAGTTTCAGCATCATTATCTGTTCTAGAACATAGGTCCATTAAGTCGTTAACATTTGAGTCTCCTTCTACTGTTGATACATCATCTGCATAGCAAAAAGATAAGCTTGGGAGTAAGGAATTAAAAATATCATTAATATATACCACAAAAAGCGTTCCTCCCAGTATAGACCCTTGTGGTACACCGTGCAAAATAGATCTACATGTGCTAGAACTTCCAGATGTATAAACAACTTGTTTTTTCCCACACAAGTAGGTTTTTTCATTAGCTCTAAAGCTCTGCCACGTATCCTGTAATATTTCAATTTACCTAGTAGAAGCTCATGATTTACACTGCCAAAAGCCTTACTTAGATTACATAGAGTTAGAGCAGATACTAGCCCCTTTTCGATATTCTCTATTATTGTATCAACTATAGCCATAACAGCTTGGGTTGTCGATTTGTTAGACCTAAATCCAAATTTATTTTTATTAAATACTGATCTCATGGGTAAAAAAAAACTCGTCTCAAATCATCCATATAATAATTATAAAACTCTTATGAAATAGGATAAAAAATGATACACCAGGTACACCACATTCAATTATCACATATATAAAACTTCATACTTGTAAATCCTTTGAGTCATGATACAGTTTGTGATGGAGTAACTTGAGAATAATAAACATCATTTCATATGCAAAATAAGAGTATAAAACGTCTTCAAATTGTATATAAGACACACTAGCCAGAAGAAGTTACACAACCGGAACAGAGTCATACATAACGAAATATTGTATATGGACCAGCATACAGTTAAATAACAATGAGACAAATTAACAATAGAACAAAAAAATTTGCCTATATTACCATGAGACAGAACCCAACAAGATATGCTAACAACGAACCCTTCTGATGTTTTCTTCAATATTGAATTAACAAATCTTTCATGTGATATGAACTATATGATATTGATCAATTTGATTTCAAAATAAAAAGTAAACCTAGAGAAATGTCATTACAATAAACCGAAACGTTTACAATTTTCTCATAGACTCTCTCCAGATTGTATTTAATTTTTCATTTTAATAAGGACCACAAAAAAGTTTCTCAATTCTTTGCATAATGTCATAAAGTTGCCGTTTTATATTCCACTTTCACCCTACCCGAATTCCACCTTCAAAACGATATGTACAAAAAAAGTTCAGTCAGTACATAACTTGCGCTTTTTCCTAGTAAAACCTCACGATTAGTGACGTGATAAACAGGACAGTGGCGCTGGAAGAGCTGTGGATGTCTTTACTGGAGGCCTGAAGTTTCTCAGAAGGCTTCACAACTTCGCAGGGCATTTGCTTTTTGACGAACTTCAAAAACGCGTCGACTATATTTGCTGGGGTACTCTCACTACATTTCTCCAATTCCGTGTTAATGCAGTGGCGAATCTCATCGAAATCCCTGGAAAAAAATGTAAAATAGGCATATCAGACTGTCTTAGATATATAAAATGCGAGTTTACAACCCCATTGATTGATAATGCCCCTCTTGTCATTACAGTTAGCTCTGGATGTGAAACAATGTCAAATTTGGGAAATATTGGCACCATCAACATCAATGTAACTAATAATTTTGAAACGTTTTATATTCAGTTTACTTTTATTATCAATTTTTTCTCTCTTTTCTATTCGGTTTTCATTTAATGCTCTAAAGAAATCTCTATTCTGAAAAGAAAGCTACACAAACACCAAAACATTAAACAAATATTGAGTGATACATTCTAGCATTGACTATAAACAAGGAATTTAGAACTCTGTAATTGCCAGATTGTGAAAATGAAGTTATTATCCACCCAAATCAACATAAAACTATCACCCTGTCAAATTCCACATTTCAGAACTGAATTATGAGGGCCATAAGTCTCGACAACGACTGACTTGTGAGTTACATTTTCACTCGCTTGTATGATTTCAGAGGGTGGTGGGGGTTATGGTGGGGATGGTGGTAAGGCTAATGTGAGTGAGCATTTGCTTGGACACTCCGCCACCCCTTCCATCAGCCCCACCATCATCCACACCACTCTCTGAAATTATAAATATGACTGAACATAGAGCTCGCCTGTCAAAGCAAGATACCTATATGTCACCCTTGACAGAAAACTAACGTTCAGAAGAGGCTATCCAGAAGAGGCTAGGGCTGGCGAAAGCCGCTCGACAAAACTTCTATTCCTTCATAGGGCGTAGAAGTAACATGGGTTTCCAAGCAAAACTGCTCCTAATCAAGACCATTCTAATGAGTGATTTTTTGCTAGTATCTTTTTGGAAACACTGTTTTTGACAGATCACGCGTGAATCGTGTCTTGTGTCACTGTCAAACTTGTTCAGTTTGGTCTATAATTTAACCATGAATCGACTTGCGAATGAACAACGCTTGCAAACTATTGAATTTTATTATCAAAATTCATGCTTGGTGAAAAAAGTACATCGTGCACTTCTTCCAATTTATGGGCAGTTTCGTCGGCCTACTGAGGGAGCTATTCGGAAGCTTGTGACTAAATTTCGAACCTAGTTTACATTGTTGGACATTGAACCACCAACACGCATACGTAGAGTGAGGACCAAAGAAAATATTGCGGCTGTATTCGCCAGTGTTCGTAATGACCGTGAAATGTCGATTCGCCGCCGTTCGCAGTAATTGAGCCTCTGTTACTCCACTACGTGGAAAATTTTGCGAAAGGATTTGGGTGTAAAACCTCATTAGATACAGCTGGTGCAAGAATTGAAGCCACACGACCTCCCACAACCTCTAACATTTGGTGAATGGGCGCTGGCAAAGTTGGAGGAAGATCCACATTTTTATCGAAAAATTGTGTTCAGCGACGAGGCTCATTTCTGGTTGAATGGATACGTTAACAAGCAAAATTGCCGTATCTGGAGTGGAGACCAGCCACAAGCATTGCAAGAGCTACCGATGCATCCCGAAAAAGTCACTGTTTGGTGTGGATTATGGGTTGGTGGCATCATCGGACAGTACTTCTTCAAAGACGACAATGGCTGGAACGTTACTGTGAATGGCGAGCGCTACTGTGTGATGATTGACGACTTTTTGTTGCCCAAAATGGAAGAATTGGACATGCCTGACATGTGGTTTCAACAAGACGCTGCCACATTCTACACGGCACGCGAAACAATGGCCCAATTAAGAGCCGCCTTCGGTGAACAGTTTATCTCACGTTTGGGGCCCGTCAATTGACCGACTAGATCGTGTGATTTAACGCCTTTGGATTATTTCTTGTGGGGTCATGTTAAGGCTCATGTCTACAGGGATAAACCAGCAACGACTGACGCTCTGGAAGCCAATATTGAAGCATTTATACGTGAAATACCGGTCGATATGTTAGAGAGAGTGTATCAAAATTGGACCTAGCGCATGGGCCATCTAAAGCGGAGCCGCGGATAACATTTGCATGAAATCATCTTCAAACATTAAATTATATTGATCGTGTTATCGATTCCAATAAAGGTTTCATTTCATGCGGGTGGCCGTAAAACGCTCCAAGATATATGCCAAACAGATATATCTTCCGGGATCTGGACCTTAACATCCAGTATGTAGATGCACTCATGGGGAACCACGCCGAAACGAATTCGGACACATGCCAGTCCATCGTTGCGTGACCTACATGCTGCGCTCAACAGATTTCGCGGGAGAGGCAAGCTCATGAAGCCGACGAAACAGAATCAAAGACCATACACGAGATTCACCGTCCAGCGGCTCCGGTAAATATAAAAATTTTGATTATAAAATTACAGAGATTTAAGCACACTTATCTCGCGGTTAGGTAAGGGCTCCCCATGCAGAAACTACACACAGTAAAGCCAGGTACAAACAGACACAACGGACAGGAAAGTAAAAGCACCTAAAGGCTGACTTTTGACCAAAAAGACGACAGATGTCAATATTGCTGAAGTGCCCAGCAACAAGGTGAGGTCCACTCAGAAATGAGTGGTGAGGGTGAAGTGATATTCTATCTTTTCTACACAGAAACCGTGTAGGGGATATTCAATCGTAGGGCACTCAACCCCAGGGAGGCATGGGAGGGGTTCGCCAGTCAGTTGTTGCTGAGACTTCAAGATATAACCTTTATCCTCGCAGTTAACGCGAGGATAAAGGCTACCTATATCTTTTAGGTCTTGAAATATTGATTTTTGTTATACATATATCATTTTGAGAAAATATTTTTGAATTGTCTCCAATTTCAACTCTAATTTTATATTGTTTCAGATATTTGAATTTTGGCAATAATCAATAATTGATGTGGCCATTCCATTTCAGATGTTTATCAATCATTATTCCCAAATATTTGATACAGTTAAACTGGTTTCATAATAGATATATTTCATTTTATTAACTGAATTCAATATTGCATTAGTGTCCAGAGGTGCTCTGAGAGTTGATGGTTCTGATGAAATATCATTTGAAATCTGAAAATCTCTCATTACATGTGGCAAAAAAATTATAATATGTTGAATTGACCTTATTAGGTGATGTGACCCATGGTTGCCAACTGTGATAAAATAATGACATTTGACAGTTTAACATTTGCTAATAAATAAATAACCAATCTTTCTGAGTTCCTTCTGCATTTTCATTTTTGGTAAATGAGAAACTGATTTCCAGAATATGACCGAAAAGATATTTCCCGTCGTCCTGTATGAAGTTGGGGCTTCGGAATGAAGAATCAGCTATGAATAAATATAAGATGTCTGTCCCAATTATGTCCCAAAAATGAAAATGCAGAAGGAACTCAGAAAGATAGGTTACTTATTTATTAGCAAATGTCAAATTATCAATTAAATATACTTACTCGCAATCTTCATCAGAGAAAAGAAATACTGGCAGGCTGGAGGCTGACAGATCATCACTATTTGGAAGTCTACCCCCAAGAGTTTTATTGAAACATTCTTGTACACCTTCTCTCCTCTCTCCAATACACTCTATTCCTCCCTCAGCAACAAACACTGAAATATAGGTAAGGTTAAGGAATGATGAAAATAATATTTTGTGTTTCATGGTAAATCAAATCCATTATTTATGTTTATTTTGGTGCCAACAAGTGGTTACATGTCAAAGTATTTCTAACATTTTCAATATGGAACCACCCTTCAACTCTATTTTGAACAGTCCTTCGTTTGATGAAATAGGTAACAAATATAATGATAGAAATAATACAAATAGGCTTGTGTAAACTGTTCAACATTTTCTACATATTATAGTGAAAGTTGTCACCAATGCCTAGGCATCTTAATATTATCTCCAAGTTAGGTCCTACTAGGATGTAAAACTCTCTGACCTATCTCGTACACTCATCTTCGCCTTACTGAAATTCCTTCTCGAACACTCTCCTCCTTAGAAAAGTCTGATGAGCTTGAGACATTTGATTACCGATGAATTCTCAAATGCAACAGTATGTCAAGAGTATATTAATTATGAATTCGGAAACAGCTGAGCAGAGAGGTTATTATTCGATAATAGAATATGGAAGAGATACATTGCAGTGACATATAGTTGTATATTGAATAGATGAGATGATGGGTGCCCCATGTGTTTATTTCTCAATTAATAAAGGATAGAATAACTCTGATATAGCTCGGAAAATAAGTTGGTGTCATCATATGCTATCAAAGAAGTAGATGAACAAAGAGAACACGAGCACACTTCAAGGTCGTGCGTCACTGGTATGTGTGACGTGTGACGTCATCGACGCAGGATGGAACGAGTATCGTAGCGATTCAAGCATGGAACTCGGCCCCCTTAGTACTCCGCCTTACCTATCGGCCCCTCTTGCGACTCTGCCTCACCCCTCGGCCCCCTTGTCACGTGATTCTAATTAAAAAAAGCTTATAGTTATGATATTGGAACCCAGGACGTCCGCGTGGTAGACATTGTCCTTAGCCTCTACACCAACGTAAGATATTGAAAGTAACTGCGAATGTTGGGTATTTATAGCGTTAGTTTTGTCGGGACCGAAATTGACTCATTTTATATACTTGACAGCATTTTTTTTTATTTCCGTAGAATGTTAGGAAAGTTGTAATCGTCATTATCATGTTGAAGATAGGAACATATACCTAGATTTGGGAAATAATTAATATTTCATGTAAAGATGTGTATGTGTGTGTAAGAGCGAGAGACGCGTGTGACGTAATCGAGACAAAGATTGATGGAGCAAGTATTGAAACATACTGACTAAAAGTTACCAACTGAAAACTTTAATGAATAAAAGTTGACTCAAATTAATTCATAAAAAATTATGTTTATTGTTTTATCCTCTATGTTGCAAATTTTCATTAAAACTACTTGAATTTCATGTTGGAATTATGATTACAAAACTGATAAATTCCAAGTATATATATACCACCTATTTTAATGCATGATAAATAAATGATTACAACTTTTATCAATTTATGATTGAATCACTGCATCTGCTTTTTATAATAAAAGTACAGGCTCTTTTGAAATTACTTACTGGCCAATCTATCTCCATCCTTGAAACAGGAGAACTCTTTCAGTTCCTTCAAAATTTCCAAAGACTTGTTAAATGACTTTTCCTCCCTTTCGTCCATACATTTCCTAGCCAGCAAGGTTGCGTTATCGAAGCATGAGTAAATTTCTGGCCAAAGTTTACAATATTTTGCAAACACTTCATCCATAGAACCAGTTTTTTTTGCTTCTTCCAGTTGTTCTTGCACCGCTGTGACGTTCACATAAGCCTCCACACACAGTTTGGCGTTTATTTGTTCTTCCTATAAATTATACAATTTGAATATGTTCAGAAATAGTAAGAAAATAATGAATATCATTAGGAATCACACGTTAAGAGGTAAGGCCTCGTTAGTCCAAGTTTCGCCTTTTGGGAATGGGGAATGTTCCTCCTGACGAAAATCATTTCAACCTTTTTCTTTAAAAAATTATTTAAATACTTAAAAAAAGAGGAATGAAATAATGCATTCAACATTTAAAAGGATTCGTTTCTATTTCACCATTTGGCAACATCGGTTATAGCTAATAAAGGACAATGAATCTGTTACCTGCATGAGACAAACAAAGATGACATTTCAGAGGCGTGCTGTTCTATTTACTTATGTCCCGAGTTCCGAGACATTCTGTGACATATGACATTTTGTGCACCTAACCTATCTTCCTCTATATAAATAAATAACAAAACAAATGTTGTTTATGTGGCTTGTGGAGGTGGTATTGAACTATAATTTATATTTTGCCTCAATTGTTGATTTATAAAGATAACTTTCCTTTTTTAAAGTAGAATATATAGGTACGTATAAATTATTCTATTCGAAGTGAATTTGAAAAACTCATGAATTGAACTCAACTTCATTTTGTTCAAACTTGCATTTGCTGTAATAACCGAAATTGAGGAGCATTCCCCATTGTCGTTCATACGGGGGCGACAACTGTTTAACGGAAAAAACAGATTTTAACAAATTTTTAAAGAAGAGGTAGGTGAAAGCACTCGAATGACCTATAAATAGTCATCTCTCGGAGGGATAGTCCAGTCATCACCCGAAGACGATGGTGGATACTAATAATCGAAACGTCGTGAAGTAACTTGACTTGAAATCTTCAATTTTTATTTTTTTAATTATTCAATTTTCAATGTTTTGCTTGTATTTTATTTTAATGTAATTTCATTTCAGGTTTTTTTGCTAAATATAATTGTTATTTTCCGCTATTGTTTCTTTCCGGGATTACAAATCATTTTATATCATATTAGACAATGGAAGTCCGAACTAATGAAATTTGCCATGAAACATTGTCAACCACCTGATATGTGCGTTATGTTATAGTGTGTTGTCATCCAGAAGATTATGTAATAACACCTCAGGTCATAATGAAATGTAAATTTGTTTTCGATACAACTTCATATTCCCCTTGAAATTTCACCATTTCTTTCCATTTCTCTACAGAGCTTAAAAGGACTCAAAAAGCTCACCTTCATCAAATCCACGGCATCTGGTGCCCCTTTCTTTGCACATTTATCCCTCAAAACTTTCTCAACATCTTGGACTCCTGGTAAATGAGTAGCGTTCGCCTCCAAGTCTTGCAGATCAATATTTTTCAAGTCTTTCAAATCGACATCAAAGTCTAAACTGTTCAAGTTTTGGCAATAAATAGATCCTGGGGAAAAAAATATTTTAGTAGACCCGAGAGTAGACCTCTATATCATCTAATGAAATGTGTTACTTCTATGACACCTCATGAGAAAATTGTAAATTTAATTTTATTAATTCAATAGTAATTTTGCATTTCTTGCAATAATCAGTAAATAAATGTGATAATTTTCAATGATAAACTTTTAATTGTAAACACCAACTGATTACGCTCAAATGCGCATAACTGCATACTGTTGTTGCAGCATTTATTATACACGGTACAGGACTGGCTCCACAAAGGCTGGAAGATGGTTCGAAATAGTAAGAATACTAGGGACCCGCCCCGGATCCGCAGTGGTGCAATGCTGATACTAAATATACATATACAGTGTGACCCATTTAAAATGGAACCACCCCTGTAGAATGTGCATTTTTCAATCAATCTCAATTTTTTTTTTATTGAAATATTAAGCATGAAAAACTGTATCTTGACACTAACTTTCACAATTTTAGTTTCATTTCCAAGGCACTCTATGGTTTTTTTTGTTTGTCAAAAACGGCAAAAGTTTATTAGGCAATTTTTGTTTTCAAATTTGACTACACCACTGGATTCGTAGTCGTTATAAATCAAAACTGTCAAATTTTCATTAAAAAATATTTGTTAACAACGAAGTTACAACAACTTCAATTTTGGAAACAAAGTATTTGTTTGTAATTTTTATTCAGATTATAGACATATTTGAGATCTGACAACACTGTCATCACCAAGTAGAACACCAGTGAATTTGTACAGTGAAAATCCGAAGTCAACAGCTCAATGCGTTCTACAGTTATAACTCCTGAAAATATGGTAAT